TGGAAGCTTTGGTCTTCCAACCCAAGGTGACTGACGTCTATTTAGAGTATCAGTCACTGCTGTTCCTCCGTAGGGGAAGCGTGTGGGCGTAGTCATTTCTCTTTGTGTTGAAGCCTGACCTTCAACAAATATGCCTCCAGCCACAGTTACGATCCGCTCTTCTGTTCTGCACTGACTCTTGAGGGCCCAGCTCTGTCTGACGGCCTACAATATGTCCCGATGACTTAGCTATCATAATAGTAACGAGGAAGGACCCAGGGCTTCGCGCACGCCAGGCCATTCCCGACCACTAAGCCGCCCCTGCCCCATATTTTCTCATTTCTTGAGCACATCGTCTATGTCTGAAATTTCCAGGTCACGTGATAACTCCCTGTTGCGATTTAAAAAAATTGTCAAGCTCCTATCCAAGTGACTGTGTAATTTTACGTTTATATTATTAAACATTTTTGACCAGGAACATGTGAGTTCCAGCTTCTCCACATCTTTGATAGCATTTTTTGGTCAGGTTTAGGTCGGTGTGAAATGGTGCCCTATTGTAGTTAGCTTTTCCTTAAAGAATAAGGATGTTAAGCACCTTAATGTGTTTATTAGTCACTTATATATCTTCTTTGGTGAAATGTGTCTTCAAATCATTTGTTCATTTTAAGATTTTATTGTTATTGAATTATGAGTTCTTTATGTATTTGTATCACCTTAAAGCATCAGAGAAATTCTACAAAGAGTAATGAAATTTATTGGGAATAAAAGAACACTCCAAGGGGGATGTGCCTGCATAGTAAGTTGTCAGTATATTCAAAGAGGTTGAAGCAAAGAGAAGTTTTTAAAGACAAATGGAAGATTATATTAAATATTTTGAATAATAATCTTTAGCCAGTAAAGCCATCTGTTCTTGGCTTTTCTTTCTGGGAAGTTTTTCTGATTACTAACTCAATCTATTGACTTATTGGTGATCAATTTGTATTTTTTGTTCCTTCTTGAGTCAGTTTTGCCGTCCTTTTAGGAATTTGCCTATTTTCAAGTGAAGTTACTTGATTTGCTGGCATAGACTAATTCAAAGTTTTGGGCTGGGGAGATGGCTCAGTGGAATAAACGTTTCCCTGGCAAGTGCAAGGGCCTGAGTTCAATCCCCGGTTCTGCAAAAAAGAAAAAGTTTTCTATCCTCTCTTTACTAAGCATACAGACCATTATTTTTTAAATATATGTTTTAAAAATATTTATTTATTTGGTACATGGTCTAGCTACACAGCTTGGACTCATAGCGATCCTCCTGTCTCAGCCTCCCCAGTGCTGGGATTATAGACATGCGCCACTGAGCCCTGGTTCCGGTTGGCACAGCATGTGGTACTAGGGATGGAATTCTGGTCCTTGCACTTGCCAGGCAGGCACTTAGACCACTGAGCTATCTCCCCAGCCCACAGACCATTATTTTTTAAGGCAGCCGTAGAGCTAGGGATTAGGGACCTGGGAGTAGGACCCTTAAAACTCCACCAAGCTAATGGTTCTCATGAAGGCCTGTCTCTTTTTATTGACCAAATGCTCCCAAGGATATTGCAAGATTTTGGTTAATTTGCAGATTAACCTGAAAAGGTAGATTCTGACCAGTGACCACTTTTCCTTTTTTTTTTTTTTGTACTGGGAATTGAATCCAGGACCTTGCGCTTGCCAGGCAGGCGCTGTGCCACTGAGCTATGTCTCCAGCCCTGACTCTGTTTTTGCTAGTTTTTTTTTCTTTTATGGAGTTACTTTTCTCTTGTTGCTGAGACAAAATACCCAACACTCAAAGTTAGAGGCGGAGAGGTTTGTGTAGCTCCCAGTTTCTAGAGGCTTCAGCCCACAGTGGGCGGCTCCAAGGAAGCGGGGCACGTGGCCTGGGGCAGCGGTTCATGGCTGGGGAAGACAGCAGCCACCAGAGTCAAAAAGGGAAAAACAAGCCTCTTTCTGCCCCTTCTATCTTGTCCAGAATTCTGGGACTAGGGCAGTGCCCATCCAACCGTGGAGTTGGTACAGGGAAAAAAACTGGTCTCAGGTGGGTGACCTCCAAACAATACAGGGAACCTCCAAATGACATAGAGAAAAACGATCTCTGGACCTGACCTGCACGAGTTCGTGTTCTCTAAAGCCGAAGAATGAAATTTTTTTTAATAAATATTTATTTGTGTGTGTGTGTGTGTGTGTGTGTGTGTGTGTGTGTGTGTGGCCAGCTCAGCCCACCAGGGGGTGGGGCTGGCTGGCATGTGGTGGGGGGATTGAACCGCGGTCCCTGTGCTTTGCTAAGCTTGTTCTAAGTAGGTGCTTTAGACCACTGAGCCATCTCACCAGCCCCTGAAGAATGAATTTTAGGAACAAAGGGAGGTTATGAGCAGAATATATTTATTGAGAGAGAGAAAGCTCCTGTCCAAGAGAGGGACAGGAGGGGAAGCCCGAAAGGGTAGTTCCCCCAGGAAGTTGTCTCTTGCAGGGACTTTTATAGAGGAAAACCATGTGGTGAGGTGGGTCTAAGGTGGTGAAAAGGACATGGGAACTGCTTAGTTGGGCATGAGGTGGGACAAAACGATGGTCAACCAACGAGTTTACAAGCAGCACTGCTCAGGTAAAATTGATTAAATCCAGGACCAAATGAGGAAGCGAGTCACCTAGCAAGTGGGCATGAGTACGGGACAGGGTCTCTTCCTGTTGGGGTTGGGCTAGTGACTCGTTTGGGCTCTTTCAAGGTGATTGATACCTATTTAGAGTATCAATCCCTGATGCCCATCCCTGGGGAAGTATGTGGCTGTGCTTCCTCTTTTGTCTTGGTCTTCAGGCGTGGCCCATATGGGAGTGCCTGTCTCTTCCAAGTTGCCAAGTCACCTTGTCTTCCGTCCTGTCTCCTTGAGGGCCGGGCCTGTCTGACTGCCTATAATATTTCTGTCTAACTCGGCTGCCTGCAACAGAGTGACCCAGCCGCCACCTGCGCTTAGCCCCAGCGTAGCACTATGAATCAGTCACACAATCTAGCTTCAGCTGCCTTGGAAAAGCCCATCCCATGCCCACGCGAGGCTTTGGGCAACGTCCACACACAAGCTGTAACATCTACCATACTTTTTCTTTCTTCCTTTTCTTTTTCTTTTCTGTTTTCTCTTACTGAGCTCTTGCAACCTGGCCCCAGGGGCTGGCTGGGGAGCGCAGCGTGATTGCCGTCACACCCCCGCAGCAGGACCAGCTGGGAGTGGTACAGGGCTGCACTCAGATGAGGGATTTGGGCTCAGTTATTCTCTAAGCCACTCTCAGTGTCTAGCCTCTGGTGTCCCCTTTGATAACAGAAGTTGTTGAGTTGTTTAGTACTTGGTAACCTTTCCTTGAACTTCATTTACACATTATGTTACACAAAACACAGGTCTCCAGCTCCTGCGTCAGTCAGCTTTCCATTACTGTAACAAATGCCTGAGGTAATTCACTTATCAAAATAAAAGGTTATTGTGGCTCATGGGTTCAGGCTGACTAATGTTTCTTTTTTTTTTTTTTTTTTTTTTTTTTTTTTTTTTTTTTTTTTTTTTTGTTTTTTGTTTTTTGTTTTTTGTTTTTTGGCGGAACCAGGGATTGAACTCAGATCCTTGCATTTGCCAGTCAAGCGCTTATCCTACTGAGCCATCTCCCCAGCCCCCCAGGCTTACTGATGTTGAAGCTTTTGTGTGTCATGGTATCTGGATCAGAACTGCTCACCTCATTACCAAAAGAGAGAAAGAGCAGGCTCTGGGGTCCCACTGTGCCCTTTAAGGGCACTTCTCCAGTGTCCTGAACGCCTTCTTCCAGGATCCACCTCCTCATAGCACCATGGGCGAGGACTAAATCTTTGTCCCACTGGGTCTTTAGAGGGTTTTCAGAGACAAACTGTATCAGCTTTCTCAGCTCTATGTCTGGCTTCCGGGAGCCCTGAATAAATGTTCCCTCCTTAGGTAGTGCGGTGGCTCTTGTTGCAAGTTCTGGGTCCTGGGGTTTAGGGTCTCTGCTTAGTAGGAGCCGAGCCATGGAGGTGAGAAGGGCCCATGGCGGAGGCTTTGAGTCCAAGCTGTCCTAAAGAACTTCTGCTAGGCTTTCTGAAGCTGTCCCCTCTCTAGGCCACAGGGTAGGTGTTCAAACTCCCTGCAGGCCTGCCTTCTGTATGCCCTTTGGCCCCTGGGATCACCTTTAAAAATATTTGTTGAATTGATCAGTGTTAAGCAACTTTGGAATTGGGCTGCACTTACAATTGTACTTTATGCAATTCTTGTGGTCACCTGACTGGACTTTGAGGCTGACCCCAGAGGTGGCTACTGTGTCCTCTCCTGGGAGGACAGGCTGGGTGAGGAGTCCTCCGCTGCTCAGGCCTCTCTCCATTTCCCCAGCGAGAGCCAGCCGCTGCCTGGAGTGATGACTGCTGTCTCTCTGTCTGGGAAGGCAGAGGAAAATCCTGCCCGCAGCTTCTGATCTTATTAGTCAGATTTTCCAGGGAAGTGGAATCCGTGTTAAAGATTTCCATGGGTGCTCTGGATTTGCATCTTATTTTTGACCATAGAGCCTGCTGCATCAGCCGTGGCCACAGCTCTGTTTCTGACCTCGAGTGCTTATACTGTGATGGCAAGCAGTAGGGACAGATCTGCAGGTGAAACCCCTGTGCTCCTGCCCCTGGCCAGCTGGAGCCCGGCTTCTCTAAGGTGGACACTGTGGACCTCTTTTGGAGTGCTTGACTCTTTGTTGGCCAGGTCTTAGGCTAGGATCAGGGCTTCCCAGTCTGGGCACCCTAGGTGGCGTTGTTTGTGACCCCAGCCCCCCCCCCCTTTTTCTGATACTGGGAATCAAACTCTGGACCTTGCACTTGCCAGGCAGGTTGTGCCACTGAGCTATATGCCTGGCCCCAAGTGCCTTTGTGTGTGTGTGCTTCTGAGACAGGGTCTTGCTGTGCAGCTCAGGCTGGACTTGAGCTCACTTTGTAGCCCAGGCTGGTCTCAAACTCCTAACGATCCTCCTGCCTTAGCTCTGGCTAACCCCATGCTCTTGGGGAAGGCAATGTGGCAGAATGTGGGCTCGTGTGGGCTCCCTCTCCAGTTTGTTAACTGTTTTGAGGATTCCTAAACTGGCCCGTGTTGCCCTGCACACCTCATGGTGTCCATGGGCCTCACGTTCCCTCTGGTGCAGGTGCAGGTGCAGGTGGCAGCCTGGGATCCCCTGGGCACCCTCCCTGTCACTGTGGGCACACCCGGGGGTATTTGGGGCCTTCCCAGCGCAGTCCCCTCCCTGGCTGGGCTTTCACTGAGCTGCCCCCGCAGCAGAGCACAAACAATATCCTTTCTATTTGGGTTGACTGGACTGCCCGTGGGAGCTCCCAGGGTGTAACCTGAGCTCCTGCCGTGGCAGCTGCACTGCCCCGTCCTCGTCCTCGTCCTCGAGGTTGGGGTCTGAGCCTCACCTGCCTGGCGCCTGTACCTGTACGGCTGAGCCATGGCAACGTGGCTGGGAGCGCCTGCAGCGTCAGGCCTGTACCAGAGGCGCCAGCACCGGCCGGGCCCCAAGCCCCCAGAGCCCAGGTAGGTGGGGAGAGGCTGGCAGGGTCCCCAGGACAGTGGCCGGAAGGCTGGGCTTCTGAAGTGCCTGGCTGGGCTCTGCAGGGCACAGGGACCTGTGCTGGCTACTAGGAGGGTGGGTGCCAATAGGAGAGCTGGGTGCGGTGTCATGTGATCGGCTTTCTTGGGCAGGACAAGCTGAGGATGGTGGCGAGAGCAGTTGTCCTTGTCACTCCCGTTGTGGATCTCAGATTGGATGATTTTATTGTCACCTTGTAGAGGCGCAAATCTAGGCTGTAGCCTCAAAGATGTGGAGGGACCTCTGGACATAACCCAGCCAGAAATGGCTGAGCTCAGATTTGAGCCCTGGTGGGATGACTGTGAGGCCCCTCGCAGGGCACTGGTGTAAAGGCCTTGTTTGGGCTGGGAGGCAGGACAGCAGCGTGCAGGGCGGTCCTCAGGGGCTCCCGGGGGTGGGTTAACCTCGATGAGGAGGGTGTTGAGGGCACCTGAATGGTAGGCCCTGGGCACACTGAGTTTCTAATGCTGGAGACAGTTTGGGGACAGAGCTGGGGGGAGAACGGGGGCAGTGGTCCCTGGAGGAGGTAGAAAGAGCTGGGAGCAAGTCAAAGGGGAAGGTAGAGGAGGGTCTAGAGAACGGGAAGTCTGGGGCACTGATACCCAGGGGTCCTCGTGGGCCCTAGGTCAGAGGAGGCTTTGAGGGGGGATAAGACAATGAGCCTTGAAATTGTTCTGCTGAGGATGAGCAGAGAGAAGGGGTAGGGCTGAGAGCGGGCCCACAGCTGTAGAGGTGCTGCCGTGTATGGAGCTTCTGCCAGGCTCATACTGGGAGCCCCTCCCTGGCTGGATGAGGCGGGGCAAACCCATTGCTCAGGTAGGGACTCGGAGGGAATTGGAGGCTCGGGAGACCAGGTAACTCACATCAGCTGGGTACGGTCGGAGCGGGAACCTCGTGGCTGGGTCTGCAGGACTCTGGATGTCTGTGCTGAGACCTGTGACGCCAGGGTGGCCAGGGCCCGGGTGGCTCGAGGTCGTGCTCAGGTGCCTTCGGAGTCTGGGTACAGCACAACATGGCCATGGTGGCCAGGGGCCTGAGAAGGAAAATTTGATCCTAGGAGGTACGATGCACGCTGTATTGTCACGTGAGTTTCTCTCTGAATTTCTGCTTGGTGCCTCTGGCCAGTTCTGCTGTCAGTGTGATGCTTTAAGTGCCCTTGGTAAGGAGACTCGGAGCTGCTCCTGCTGGAGCACAGAAGCGCGCTGCAAGTTTTGACTTTCTACTGTCATTGTGGCAGGGCCTGGGGCTGGCTTTGTGTAAATTCCTGTTCACTGTGCACCGCCCAGTGACTCTTGATGCTGACCTCTGGCTGGCCCTGGTGGGGAAGGGCAGGAAAAGGGGCCAGGCAATGACGGGGCTCCCCTTGGGACTCTGAAGGCTGGGCCTGGAGCAGCAGGCGCTTGGCGAACCCCTGCTGCGTGAAGGAGGGGAGGGTGCTCTAGGTCACAGCGCCTAGGATGGGCTGTGCTTGCAGGCACGGCCCTGCTTAGCCCTCCCAGAAGTCCTTGAAAATAGCTGGTGTGAGCCCATTTTACAGAGGAGGAAGCTGAGGTCTAGAGAGCACTTTGCTGCAGCTCGTTGGGCCAAGGAGTGTTGAGTAGCTTTACAGCCTGCCCTGCTTGGCTGGATGGCACTTGCTGTCGGCCGGACCCCTGATACAACATGGCCCCAGCAACTCTGCCTCATCCAGGTGTGACTAGACTTTCCTTCCCGGGTGCTCACGCTGTCCTTTAGGCACATATGCGTGGGCAGGCGGGGGTGGGGAAAGGCCTGGGGTTACTTAGTCTGCAATGCCCATGCCCACGTGATGCAGTGGGAGCGATGGACAGCAGGTGGCACGCCCCCAGTCCTGTGTGACCCTCACCAGGTTGCTCAGCTCTCTGTGCTTCAAGGTCCTGGTCTGCACTGTTACCCTCCCCTTTCAAGGATCTGGCACCCAAGGGCACCCTCTGCCTCCCCCAAGGCTCCTGTTGGTCACCAGTTGCTTGGGACATTGTGCAACATATTGTCCTGTGTTATGTGTCCAGATAGGTGGAGAGTGTGGGGTGCTGGGGAGCAGCTCTGGCCCTGGCCCTGGGCATAGGCGGGGCTGTGCAGCTGGAGTGGGGTGGCAGTGTCCCCTTGTGGCTGGGCTGGCTCCATCTTCCCAATCTTGGGTGGAATGTGAGGAGGAGACTGGAATGTCCATGTCTCTGACCCTCTGCCCTCCATGGGGAGTATAGGCGGCCTAGGCCGTTCCCTGGCCTGGCTGCCTAGAGGGACTCTGTACTGCTGCCAGAGTGGCTGCAAAACAACAGCTCCCTTTATTCTGCTGTCCTCTAGCTCAGCTGGAAGCCAGAGGGTGAGGGGCCTGCAGATGCCAGCCCAAACCTTAGCTCCTGGGATCTGCAGCGGGTCTTGAAGGGCCAGTGGCCAGGGGGCTTGCTGTGTGTTCCCAGGAGGTTAGGCTTAAGGCATAATATGAAAGCCTCACATTGAACTTGGATCCTCATTTTGGCTTCTTTTCTGGGTCCTTGGAGTGGGACATTCCCAGGCCCACAGGCAGGATTTCCTGTTGATTTCTGATCTCTCCAAGACCCATGGGTCGCGTTCAGTCAAGGATTGGAATGTCCTTCCTGTGACTTTGGGTGTGTGCTCCAGGAGAGGAGGCACACAGTGTTCCTGGGAAGGAAGTCTGTTCATCCTAACCAAGCCCAGCCCAGCCATCCAGGGTGGCTGGGGTGGCTTAGCCCTGGTCCCTGGGACAGGCTGCCTGGGCCACCTCGTGGACAGCAGCAGGAAGCTGGAAGATGGGGGAGTGGCTGTGAGGCATCTGCTTCCCTTTTGCATTGGGCTCTTCCTGACTCCCGCTACCAGCATCCCTGCTTCTTTGATCCTCTGGTCTAAATATGGACATGGGAGGTGGCTTTGGCCTCTGACTCTCAAGGTAGGGCTGAGACCCGCAGAAGGCTGGCAGGTTGGGCAAGCTTGCCTAATGGCTTTCTGGTCCTGGCCTGCCACACAAGTTCCCAAACAAGAAAGAGGCCATGCAGCCTGGTGTGCCGTCCTGGTTACCAGCGTGTCTCCATGTGGCAGCAGCCTGCTCTGACAGCCGCAGTCCGCAGCCCACGCCAGACCAGAGGCGGCCCTCTTCCTCCTCGCCTGGCTGGCTCATCTGATCTGAGGGCACCTTTCCTCTGGACACCCTCCAGGCTGGCTCCGCCTGCTCCACAGGCTGCAGGAGGGCCCCGTGGGGGCCACAGGCCAAACTCCAGCGCTCTTCTCCCAGTGCCTGGCTGAAAACGAGCGGTGGATGGGATTGGGTCCCCAGGAGGCGGGACGGGCTGAAGACGTTCTCACACAGTGAGCTCACAGCACGCCCTTCCCTGCTGTCCCCATGCACGTGTGACCACATGGCTGTCACTCCCCATGATAAGGCTGGGCATCTCTCTTTGCCCAGTTCTGCAGGCAGCTACCATCAGCCCATTAGAGCTGGTGCCTCCAGGGCTGGCCAAATAGCTGAGCAGATTAAAGCACCTGCAAGCAGGCACAGGGACCAGGGGTTCAATCCCCGGGCCTGCCTGTCATGCTGGCCCTGCCCCCCGGGGTGTGCTGAGTTGGCAACTGAGACTGGGTGTGGTGGCGTGCGCCTGTAATCCCAGCACTTGGGAGGCTGTAAACAGGAGAATCACTGAGTTCTGCAGGAAAAAAAAAAAAAAAAAAAGAAAGAAAAAAAAAAGAACTGGTGCTTGGGACAGAAGCTGCTTGTTTCCCCTTGGGAAAAGGAGTGGATTCCATAGCCTGGGCAGGGACAGCAGCTGTGGTGTTGGGGTGCTGTGTGCAGTCTCGCCAGCCTCCTGGTCGTGTGCGAGGGCCCCTGTGCTGGCGTGGAGCCTGGCTCAGCGCAGCTCCCCTCAGCCAGGACTCAGAGCAGCGGCCTGAAGCCAGGGCTAGCCTGCCCCCTGCACATGCCGTGTTCCTCTCTATATCTGGGGTCAGAACGGCACACAGTTTAAAATTTATGAGCTGTTAGCTGCGGATGGTGGCTCACATCTGCAGTCTCTCTGGAGAAGCTGGCGAGGAGGATTCCAAGTTCAAGTCCAGCATGAGAAACTCCAGCTGAGTCTCAAAATGAAAAATAAAAAAGGACTGAGGATATAGTTCAGTCCACAGGCTCCAACCCTAACACTAAGCAAATAAGGAGAACACAAAAACATATGAAGTATTCATTTCTAGAATTCTCCTCCAAGGGCCGGCGGTATAGCTCAGTGGGCTAAGTGCTTGCTTAGGTAAGCGCAGGCTCCAGGGTTCGATCCCTGGCTCCGCATGCCGCTCCGGCCCCACGGCTGAGTGCACTGAGCCAGCGATGGAGCCTGGGCATGGTGGTATACACCTGTATTCCCAGCCCTAGGGAGACAGAAATCAGGAAGATCACTAGGAGTCTGAGCTGCATAGTGAGACTATGCACAAAAAAAAAAAAAGCAGAAAACTTTTGGTCAGTTAGCTCCGAGGCTTAAGTGCTTGCCTGGCAAGTACAAGTTCCTGAATTCAATCCTTGGTAAAAAAAAAGATTCTATTCTAGAATTTTCCTCAATTTATTTGTTTGTTTGGTGCTGAGGGTGGAACCCAGCCAGGCACATGCCAGGTGAGCGTCCTCTCCAGCCCTGGAGTGGCAATTCCTTGCGCTGAGGAGCGAGCCCAGGGCTTCCCACAGGCAGTGTGCTGTACTGCTGATAAGCTGCACCCCAGCCAGGAACTCCGAATATTTTCAGACCGTGACCGAAGCCCTCGAAGGTGAACTGGTGCATAAAGGGGGCCACCGTAGTTCAGTACAGACTCTGCTCCCCCAGAAGGAAGATGCCGCCACTTATCCCGGGATGGGCAGTGCCCCACAAGGGCATGCTCTCCCATCCGTCTCTACCCCAGAGCTTCGCTCTGGTCTTCTACATGGTGGGCGGTTACTCTTTCAGGGCGTTTGTCAACTGGGCGCTTACCTCCCGGTGCAGGGGAAGAAGCCCCTGATCCCTGACAATCAGTTCAAGCTGGTTTCTGTCACCTGCTGCGTGAATGTCTCTGAGTCTCACACGGGTTCTCTGGGACAGTGACAAGAGCGGCTGCAGAGCCACCTCACGACTAAAGGAGGATAAGAGTGCCCTCTGTGCCTGGGTGATTCTGACCCTTCAAGGAAGGAGTGAGAGAGCACAGGCGGTGCTGGGGTGGACTCTGAACCCCAAGAGGCGGCCCAGCGCTGTGGGGCTGGGCAGTGTGGGGCCTGGCCTGGTGGCCCCAGTGGCCGGTGACCCCTCATCTCACCAGCCTGAACCTACAGCATGGCGCCACGGAGGCCCGTCCACAGCTGGAGCCGTGCCCGGAGTGCAGGCCTCTGCCCAGGGTCCTGATGGCGCTGACCCAGCAGTGCTCACCTGGCTGTGGCCAGCCTTGCGGTTGGCTCTCCATGGACGAGCAGTGTGGCAGAGATGGGGGGCTTGGGGGGCAGGCTTCCAGCAGGCTCTGCCCATGCCCCTGGGCCAGGGGTCCATGCTCTGCTCCTGTGTCTGTGACTGGAGATGCCTCTCGGCCCAGGCTGGATGCACGCTGCATTCCTAGCGCACCAGCACTCGGGGTGCTCTGCACAGTGGTCACAGGGGAGAGGCGTACAGCAGCCATGCTGGGTGACTCACGCTGGCACCAGGTGGCTTGGCGAGCCAAGGCTGGCCTGGGAGGAACAAGCAGGCTTCCCTTTCTCGGAAAAGCACTGCAAGCTTAGAGCAGGGTGTGCACAGAACCTGCCCTATGCGCCTGCCCGGTCCTCATCTCACTCCTCCTCCACGCCTTCTAGCAACATGTCCGACGCCTTGGCCAACGCGGAGTGCCAGCGCTGCCAGGCCCGCTTTGGCCCCACTGAACGCATCGTCAACAGCAACGGGGAGCTGTACCACGAGTGCTGCTTCGTGTGCGCCCAGTGCTTCCGGCCTTTCCCCGAGGGGCTCTTCTATGAGGTGAGGATGCGCAACACCCCGGCAGGAGACTTTAACGGACAGGCACAAGGGCAGGCCTGAAGCAGCACGGGACCATGCCCAGCACCCTCACCTGTGAGCCTCTTCTGGCTCCTCGGGGAGGCCTGGGGGGTGCAGGGGGGAGACCTTGCCCAAGGCAGGCATCCTCCCTAGGATGGTGATAAGGAACCCCATGGTGGGAGTTGGGTGATCAGAAAAGAGCATGGTTTTGGGGACCTGAAGGAGGGAGCCACACACACAGCTGCCGGCAGAGCATAGTGGGGGGCATGCAGGGGGACCCAGGGGACGGCAGGGAATGAGAGGGAGAGTGGCAGGAGGTGGGGGCGGGAAGTGCTATCCTGTGCCTGGGCCACCACATAGGACCATCAGCTTCCACCCCAAGAGACTAGGCTGGCAGGCTGGGGATCCACAGAGCCACGCCATTTGCCTAACATGTAAACAGCATCCCTGGTGGTCACTGTGCAGGGGACTGACTGTGAGGGTGGCAGGGACAGAAGCTTAGAGGCCAGGGTTATTGCTACAACCCAGATGAAGGTGGCGGGGCCCAGACCAGCACACTCTGGCTCTCACAAGCAAGTGGTTAAATCTTCACTTTGCAAACTGTTGTTGAATATAGTCATTACTGGGCCAGGGAGTAGCTCAGCAGCATAAGCACCTGCCTAGCAAGCGCAAGGTCCTGAGTTCAATCTCTGGTACCGCAAAAACAAACAAAATGTGACCATTATTAAAAATCAAGTTATACATACACACAGGAAAAAAAATTTTTTTTATTAAAACAAAGGTAAGAAATACTCAAAACTCCCTTGCTGGTTTTGTTATATTTCGCTATTGTCTATTCTTGTGGGTTATTTCTGTCCACTGTACCTGTGTTGTGGGGATTGCACATCTCTCAGCTCCACAAGGTGACCCCTTGAGGTTGGCCCCGGGGCATTTACCCCATGGCGGTGGCAAGCTCCAGGCTGCCGGGTTCCCTGTGGAGAGCTGGCTGCATACCTCCCTGCATGGTGGCTGCAGTGAAGTGGGGAGCAGGGTCAGACGCTGCGTGCATTTTGGGGTGGAGCTAATGTGGGCGGAGGGGTGGAGGGTGCCTGACCTGCAGACACACCGGGCCTGTCCTCATGGATCCCGCGGTCTTCTGAGAAGCACTGGCCCACGGGCATGGGGCGGGAGAGCGCAGAACTCGCCCTGGAGTGCTCAGGGCATGCTACATTTACCCCCCCCCCCCGCCTCCCCAGCTGCAGTCTGAAACATTCGTTCTAGAAAGTACGAGAGCCAAATTTTCAAAAGAGAAAAAAATGATCAGTGGAAGGAGAGGCAGAGGCAGGCTTTGGCCACCACACCTGGGGCCAGCCAGTAGCCCTTGCTGTGGTTGGTGGCTGCCGACCATGTCCACAGGGGCTCCCATGGCTGCGTGGTTGTTCTCCTTGGGATCCTCTTCCTGTGTCCCCTCCCTTTTCTCTCCCTTCCTTGAGTCTTCTGTGACCTCATGGGGAGCTGGACTTCTCACACAGAAAAGACACAGGAACAGGGGTCCAAACTCACCCCATCCCTCCCCAGCTGAAGCCCAGCCCCAGGATGTCAGGACTTTTGGGTGGGATTCTTAGTGGCCAGTCATGGCCATCTGAGAGCTGGCCTTGGGTTCCTGAGGCTCCCATGAGGGCCCTTACATGCGCCCACGCGTGGCAAGGGCTAGTTGCCCATTCCCACCTTAGCCTAGGAGGGTCTCTTCTCTGTACTCTGTCACTTGCTGTCATCCCTGACCTGACAGGCCGGTGGGGGGGGGTCTCCTTGGAATTACGGGTGATGAGTGTTTTCTCTCTGTGCCCCTTCGCAGTTTGAGGGCCGGAAGTACTGTGAACATGACTTCCAAATGCTGTTTGCTCCTTGCTGTGGATCCTGTGGTGAGGGCTCGTGACAGTGATGTCCTGTAGCGCTGGGAAGGGGAGGGGGTGCTGGGCCACACAGCACTGGCCCAGCTTGGGGGCCCACCCTGCCCTCTGAGGACAGCTGCCTCTGCTGCAGCCGGGGTGCCTCGGCGCAGGCTGGGCCTCGGCGGTGGGCTCGGGTGGCCGGGGCTCGGGTGGTCGGGGCTCGGGTGGCCGGGGCTCGGGAGCGCCCGGCCCCGCCTGGGAAGCAGGCCCTCTTCTCTTCCAGGTGAGTTCATCATTGGCCGAGTCATTAAGGCCATGAACACTAACTGGCACCCGGGGTGCTTCCGCTGCGAGCTGTGTGACGTGGAGCTGGCTGACCTGGGCTTTGTGAAGAACGCAGGCAGGTGAGGAGGCCACGTCCTGGGCAGGGAAGGGGGCTGCGAGCGCCCTGTGCAGGCTGGAGAGGCGAGCCCAGTGGCGGGGCCCATCCAGTTCGGAGTGATCCATGGACAGCCAGGATGAGGTGCAGGGGGATGGGCCGTGAGATGGTGGGGGACAGACGGGGAGCTTCCGCTGCCTCCAGGCCACCGCAGTGTGCAGGCCCAGCTCCCTCCTTTCCACACCTTCATCCACGCAGCTGAGTGTTGCCCCACTTTGCCCTCTGGGGAAACTCTCACATTCCAAGAAGCTTTACTGTAACCTCAGCCTGCCCTTCCCTCCAGAGCCTGGTGTAGCCTAGGACTTACCTCCCACTGGCTGAGGCCGCACTGTGGGAGGCCAACGCCTCCCAGCACTCCTGCCGGCTCCTCTGCTGCCGGCTCCTCTGCGGCTTTCCTGAGCCCAGGCCTGCTCAGGAAAATCAGAGAAGGCTGAAGCACTAGAGGCAGCAGGATGCAGTACGAAGCACAGAGCTGGAGTGAGTGGCAGGACCACAGCTCTGAGGGGGAGTGCTGGGCCCATGTCAGAGCCCTCCCGGCCCTTGCTGCACACACAGCTCCGCATGTGGGACTTCGGAGTCTGTGGTGGGCAGTCTCTGGGGCCACCAGAAGCACAGCAAGGGAACTATGGTGCCTGTGAGTAGTATGCCATTCTCAGGTCAAAGGAAAGGAAGTTCTGGGGAGGGCACCATATGCAGCGAACAATAACCCCTTCTTCATCTTAAAGCTACAGATTATTCATGATCAGCACAAACCAGTACACAAAAGACAGGTTAGGATGGTGTGCATATGCTACCTAGCGATGGCAAAGCAGGGCGGCAGTTTGCAGGCCTGTTGGGAGGAGCGAGGCTCAGGACACCCCTGCTAGGTCTGGGCTAGCAGGGGAGACCATCACACACCAGCTCCCACCTGCGGTTGGCTCCTGGTGACCGTCCACCATGTCCTGTGCTTGGTGAGGCCGCCTTCTCCTGCCGAGGGGCTTGGATTGTCAACCTATAGCAAGCTGCATGGGTTTGCACCGGGAGGGGCAGGAACCCAGAGCTGAGCTGGGCCACGTTTCCTTGGCATCACCCAGCAAACCTCTGAGGTGTACGTACAGTGTTTGGCTATAAGTTTATGTCCCCTAAACTCAGAAAGGGGTCATTTGGCAAAGGTACCACAGAGGGGCCTCAAGAAACCTTGTACTTTAAAAGAAATATTTGGATACCCCACACCCAGAGCTGAGAACCATGCTGCCTCTTCTCTTGGGTCCCGTGCAGCCCTGGGTCTTTCTGCAGGGCTTTACTGTGGTGGGTAGGAGGCTTCGAGCCTGACTGGCAAAAAAGGAACCGTGGTCTCTTTTATGAGGGAGGAAGTCCCCCAGCGTCTGGGAGCTGCATTCAGTGCAGTCCCTGCAGGCGGCAGCTATCAGTCTCCACTGTTGGCCCTGCATTTCCAGGGGCTTGCTTGTGGGGAAGACTGAGCTAGGGGCTCGGCGAGCTCAGCCTGCAGGCCTTGGAAGGAGGGGCGGGCACTAGCTGAGAGTTCAGGTCATCTGCCAGGATGCAGATGGGGAAGATGGGGTTCTCTGGCTGGGTCGCGTGGCACGTGCCCAAGGTTGTCATGTGGGGCTGTGGCCTGAGACTCACAGCTCGGACCTGGCACTCAGGGAACTCTCGTTGGTTTTCCCCTCAAAACTGGGAGGTGGCCCCACAAGCCTTTTGCCACAGAGCAAGTTGCACAAGGTGTGGCGGAACTTCTCAGCCACAAAGAAGTATATGACGGGGTCGAGGGCCGTGTTGAGGCTGGTGAGGCAGGAGGTGATGCGGTTGCCCAGGGCCAGGGCGCGCTGAGCCGCACAGGATGCCCTGCCGCTGCTGTAGTGCAGCACGTAGACCGAGCGGTGCACGTGGTAGGGCACGAAGCAGACGAGGAAGATGGCCAGCACGGCGGCGATCATGCGCACAGCTCTGCTCTTGAGGCGCTTCTCTACGCGGGGGCCCTGCCGCAGGCTGCGAATGATCAGCAGGTAGCAGGTGACTGTGGTGACGAAGGGGAAGGTGAAGGCCACCACCAGGGACACGAGGGCATGGTGGGAGGCCTTCTCCCGGTAGAGCTGCAGGCAGACCACCGTGTGGTTGGTCTGTACCGTCTGTGGGCTGACCAGCAGTGGGGCCATGGCCACGGCCACCACTACCCACAGGAAGGCACAAGCCAGGTGGGCATAGAGGGGCCTGCGCAGCTTGAGGGACTTGACGGGGTGCACGATGGCCAGGAAGCGGTCAGCGCTGATGCAGGTGAGGAAGTAGATGCTGGCGTACATGTTGAGGTAGAAGAGGAAGCCGGTGAGTCTGCATGGGATTTCCCCAAATGGCCAGTGGTTCCCTGAGAAGTGGTACACAAGGCGGGTGGGCAGGACCAGCACACAGGATAAGTCAGCCACTGCCAGGTGCATCAGGAACACATTGGCTGGGGTGCCTGACTTGTGGTCCCGGATGAAAAGCCACAGGGCCAAGGCATTGCCCACGAAAGCCAGGGTGAAATCCAGGAGGTAAAAGCAGGCAAGCAGCACGTTCTCCAGTGGCGTCTCCTGCCCACACCGCTCAGCTGTGGCCAGGGAGGAGTTGCTGGTGGGGCTCAGGGAGGCCATCTCTAGGCCGTTCATGCTGTAGCCGGAGCAGAGCTGTGGGTGAGCCTGAGGGAGCGGAGCAGACGGGTGAGGGCAAGCAACCCGAAGCAGAAGTGAGCAGAAGTGAGCCCCTGAGCCTTCAGCATGTCCGCCCTGCGCCGCCGAGAGGGGCAGAGCAGCTCCAGGCTTAGGGGATGGTTGGGACTGCCCAGGGCACTTCCTGTGTGAGTACAGAAAGCTGAAAACCAGACCCTCTCGCGGCCTGGGGCTCAAAGCCCCCTCACTGTGCAGCAAGTCCCTGCTGAGTAGGTGAGAGGCCACTGGGTGGCCCAGAGATGCAAAGGTCCTCTCACCCTTCCTCAGAGAACAGCGGGGGATGTGAGCCCTGCTCTTTGAGGCTCAGGAGGGCTCTGTTCATACCTGAGGGGCTACTGAATGAACCACTGCCAATGGAGATGGGGGAGGATCTGTCCCGAGAGCCCTTGCTTGGAGTCTGCCCATCCCTTCATCTCAGCAGTGAGTCCTGAGCCTAGGGCCCTCCCCAGCCTGCCTCCCTGGGGCTTCTCAGCAGCCACGCAGCCACAGGGACCACAGCATCCCTGCTCTCTGCTCCTAGTGCTACCCGACTCTGGCTCCCCCAGCCTCTATACCTGCGGCTCCCCCAGCCTCTATACCTGCGGCTCCCCCAGCCTCTATACCTGCGGCTCCCCCAGCCTCTATACCTGCGGCTCCACCAGGAGCGGTGTCCGTGGCAAGGTCAGATCTTGTCCTGTTTACCTGCACCTCAGTCCTGATGCCTCTGGGGGGCTTTCTGAGCTCGACCCACAGCTCCCTTTGGGGCATCCTAGCCCTTGGGCCACAGGCAGGCAGGTCTGTTTCCCAAGCAGGGTGTTTCACAGCCAAGGGTGGGATTTCCTCCATGAGGTAAAGAGACTCATCCAGAGCAGCAAGGCTGCCCGGGCTTCCGCTGAGCCCCGCAGCTGGGAGAGGTCTGGGAGGCCCTGGGGCGCTCACGCTGAGAACTGGACGCAGAGCCCTGCTGGTCTCGGTAACAGACTGTGTGTAGGGTAGGGTGCTCCTACCCCGCTCCAGCAGGAAACCCAGTCTCACGACAGTTTTACTTCACTTAGGGTCCCTCCACCCTGTTTCCTTCTCTGGGGCCTGGGAGAAGGGATGCGGACAGGACTGGGCTGGTGGTGGAAGCAAAGGAGCCTGTCCCCTGTGGCCAGGGTGGGAGGCCAGGGCAGCTTAGGGGGATGCTGTTAGGCCAGGCCCTGCTGTCAGAAGCCTGGACTCTGCCCCTTGGGGCAGTCATGTTCCCTCCAGGAAGGCAGCTCCCCAAGGTGACACACCAGGATCTGCCTGCCAGTCTGAGGGGTGGGCATCAGCCGTTTTCTCGTACGGGGCAGCCCTCAAGGCTCGGTCTGCTAACTTGGGTGAGCTTGTGTGGCCCTGGATCTGGAAGGCGGAGGCAGACCCCGGCCCTGGGGCACTGGCTGGACTCTAGGGGTGAAGAGAGCTTTTGGCAGCGAGAGCTGGAAGTGCGGCTCCTCTGAGCGCTTGCACTGGAGTTCTTTCTTGGGCTCAGTGTCCTTTCCTTAGAGCCTGGCTCTGAGATGAGTCTCTTAATTTGGGGTGCAGTGTAAATGAAAGTGTGTGTCCTCTTGCTTAAAATGTCCCAGCTATAGCTCAGGAGCTGTGGAAAATCTCTGACTACGGGTTTTTCAGTTACACTCCTGGGGGTTGTTTGGACAGAGGATGGGCCAGGATTAGAGAGAGAAGAGACAGAAGTGTATCTCCTTCCTTTTAAAATTGGAATTCCCTGGGGCGTCTCTGTGGAGATGACAGTTTAAGAGAAGGCCTGTGACGGATGCCTCTGGGGCCCCTCAGTCTTCTTGGGCCAAGAGGAAAGATGGGTTTGATTGAAGAGACTCTGCCTCAGGGCAGATTCTTTCAGAGGCCCGCGACTCCTCAAGGTTTTGGAGGCAACCCTTGTCGCAGTCTCTAGGGAAGTGTTCTGCTTTTCTGCAGCAGGCGGATACTTTGCCCCTAGAGCCCTGGACTGGGCTGTCTCCCTCCCCCAGGGCAGCCACTTACATAGCTATCCTTTTTTAATCCTACTTCCTCTCTTTTTTTGTCCTCCTGCTGGTCCTGTTAATAAAAGACCTGGGTGGCTAACCTGACCAGGGTGTCTAAAAATCCTATTAGGACCAGATACCTTTTTTGGGCAACTTTTTCCTTATATTTGTGGCAGGTTAGGTCATGAATCTGTCACTGATGATTCTTTGTCCCTCTATGCTGTTTGGGTACTTAGTTAAAGCCTCCTGGAATCTTTTTCAAAAGGCTGAGGGATCTCTTCACTGTCCTGATTGATAGTTAATAACTTGGAGTAACTGAAGGACTCAGTGCGCGCCCTCTGTGATCCCTTGGAAGGTAGGGCTGGAAACCTTTCAGTCTTCTCACCTAGTGGGTCTCTTACAGTGAGCTGCTCTCTAAAGACCTCTGCTGCCTGGAGGGCCGCTTGCTTTTTACTGGGTTATAAGGTCTGATTGAAAAGAAACATCGTATTCTTCTAAGCTAGATCAAAAGACTGAGCTAAACCTCAAAGTAACTCTGAAATCTTGTCAGGATCATGGGAGAACTTTCCTAAGTCCAGTTGGATGCTTTAGGTGTATCAAGGAATGGACCACATGGACTTGAGGACACCGAATTTCCCCCCGCCCCCTCCTGAACAGGGTACAGTCCCCCTTGGAGGTTTCTTTTGGTCTTCGTAGTGTGCCAGGGGTCTACGCAGGGTGGACAGGGAGGCCTGGATGGGCTGCACCTTAGCGGGGTCTTGGGAGCCCTTGCCCCAAATGGGACCCAGTCTACACTGTTCATGCAGTCTGAGCTTGTCTCTAAAGCGAAAATGGGAGCACGGGGAACTTCTGACTGTCTTCCCTGTCATAGAACTGGTGAGCTGCAGGATGTGTCATCATTTATATTTCTTCCAGCCACCGTGCTGCCCACTTCCCAGAGGGCTCCTAGGCCATGCATGGGGGCAGGAAGGAATAAGGTGATAATTCTTTTCAGGGTCTGAGTCTCAAAGGAGAAGGTTCCCCTGTCTGCCATTGTTTGTTTTGTCACTAAAGCCGGGGTGTGTTCCAGCTCTGGACCCTCAGTGTCAGGGTCAGCTGCTGGAGTTGCTGAAGGGAGTGGCAAGGGCCTAACTCTACCGTCCCTGCATGGCCCTTGCCTCACAGCCTTGTGACCGTTTGGCTCATCCTGGATGTCCGTTGTCCTTTCTCAGCCCTTAGGTAATGCGTCTCTGAATATAAAATTTGATTGTTAGCCTGGCAGAACATTTTGGAGCGAATCCAGTCCTGTGGAGACCAGCGGCTGTGGCTGTTAGCTCCCTTAATGTCTGTTTTACCCAGAGTTGTCATTAAGCCCTCAAGGGCTCCTAAAACTGTGTTGTGCTCTAGCAGTGAAATTGTCATGTTGTAGTGACCCATCTCAGAAGACGGCTAGTCTTTCCTCTTCAGTATGAGCACCAGATGTTTGGAAAATCCTTCACCAGGTGTTATTCCTGGGCTGAGCAATGAAGAGGGGATAGGAGAACAGCCTGATCCAGCAGGGACTCTGTAAGGCTCGGAGACTTAGTGAGCAGGCTACGGCAGCAGTGGAAGACAACTGGGACGAAAAGCTTTCTCAGGGCCAGTTTCTGGTCTTTAGGAAAATAAACCTCCAAAAAAATAAAAAAGAGAAGAAGGAGCAGCGAGAGAAAATCAGAGTGGAGAGGCCACGGTAGTGGAAGAGATGTAATCTCCTCAGCACTTGGTGAGCTAATGGCACAGCCTCCCCGAGAGCCACCAGGCTCCACACCCACTACGGAGAGCTGAGCTCCCTGGTGGAGGACCGAACGAACGGGACGAAGTACAGCCAGAGCAGGCTGGACGTTCCCTTCCACCCATGTGGGAGCGGGCCACGCACGGACCCTGCGAAACCTATGCCCTGCAACTTGGCAGCAGCAGCTGGTGCTAACTGCTTTTTAAAAAGCTGCTTAACAGGCTGCTTGGTTTTTTGTTTTGTTTTGATTTGAGAGGAGGTCTTGCTATGTAGTTTAAACGGGCCTCCTCCTGCCTCAGCTTCCCAAGTGCTGGAATTCCAGGCATGTCCCCCGGGCCCAGCTGGTCCCCTTATATGAAGCATAAGGCCGTTTCCCAGTCTATTCTAACGCCAGGGGAATGACAAGAGAAACACAAGGCGATCCAGTAAAAAGCAGAGGGCAAATCTCACCTACCTTCTAAATGCAGTTATGGTTATCCAAGCGTATTGCAGAGCGAAGGGAAGAAGCCCAGCCCTCCCCGATCCGGTCTTACCTCCTGCCAGTCTCGGTGGGTCCCTCCAAATCTGAACTTGTTATCTCCTACAAGCTGCATAGACCCAAGCCTGCTGCCTCACGGGCTGAAAAAACAGAAGCGCAGATAAAAGGTCTCGCTCGGTGGGGGAGTGTTTACTGGAAAGAAGAAGAAGGAAAACAGATCCTGGTGAGTATCCAGGAGGGTCGCGAATGAGTCACTCAAGGCCTGTAGGTCTGGAACCTTTTATGGCTAAGCTGAGTGTGTAAATTGCTCAGTTGTTCAGCGACTATTTGTCGCAGGCAGCTCTGCGGGTTTAAAATGACCAGTTAAACTCTGGCTCTCTAAAGCAGCGGCTCAGCATGTGCAGTTTAAAGGACACTGAGATTTTAAAGAACAATCAGTTAACTCAGGAACTTATAGGGAGGGACTGCAAGTCCCTCAGCAGGGACGGGCTGCATTCTGCATCACCCTGCAGTCCATGTCACCCGAGGAAGCCCTTTCTTGGGCAAAGTCCTGGTCCGCTGCCTATTTTTGATTTAGGTGCTGTCAGTGGGGCTGATCCACAGTCTCAGGCCCCTGCCCTGGCTAGGTGCTACCGTAAGCCAACCAAGTGGTCTTTCTTACCATGGTCAGGCAGCAGTGGATTCCTCTGTTGGGCCCTCTTCTCCCCTTAGCCTCAGTCTCCTCTGCCTGGCTTCTGTGGCAGCTATCAGTGTGAGTGCTGGGTTCCAGCTCACTGTCCTTGCAACCTGGGACTCTGGACACAGACCCCTTGCCTTGTGTAAGCCTAGACGAGGGACCGAGCACACTCTGTGGTGGTTGTGAGTTCAGCCAGGGCCAGCGCTGTTTTCTAAGACACAGGGCCAAGAGGCAGCCCGCTTGACCCTGCAACACACCCTGCTCTGCTTGCCTCTGCCTGCCCTGGGTCCCTGTCATTTGCCAGGCCCAGCCCCACCCCTTACCTCTTGCAGCTGGTCCAGAAGAAGAGGCCAGAGTCTGGGTTGCAGGTGAGCGTGGTGGAGGCAGTGGGCTCTTTGCAGCTACGAGTGGAAGGCTGGCTATTTAAGGAGAAGAGGGGCGGCTGCAGCCCCTCTGGCCCTGAAAGGCTGCTTCATTCCTGAGGGGTCCCTTCGGGGTGGGCTACTCCTCTGTTGCTTCTGCTGCCACAGAGTCTGTGAATATTCCAGTGTGTCCCCAGCCTGTGCACACCCCCTCCCCCCACCAGCTTGGCCACTGAGTGCCACAGAGGCTGAGTGTGTGACTGTCTTGGGAACCTGGGAATGGGTGAAGCTGGGTGGGTGGGGGGCTCTGGCTGGGACTGACAGACACAACAGGATGTCTGAAAAGGGGATGAGCGCCTGCAGCCGGGCAAGGAGGGGCCAGCCGCCATGGCAACCAGCAGGCTCCCCTTGCTCCCACCCTTCAGAAGCAGGGTGACGTGAACGGCGGGGTGGGAGCCTGAGGAGTCGTTGGGCAGAGTGAGAGAGGCCTCTTTCAGGACACTTGCTGTAGGGTCCTGTGTCCTGCCCCGCATAATTAGGCCCCATTTGGGATTGTGGAATAAATCATGGCCTTTATGTGGGGCTGGCCACAGCTGCGGGCTGCCTCATAATGGGGGCGCTGTCTGTCCTTCAGGGAAGCAGCTCAGCCCTGGGGTTTGGCCACACCGTGTGGGCCTCCTCAGCACAGAAGGCCCTCGCGCGAGCACTGAGGCCTGCCAAGCGCCGGGCTCCGCATCTGTACCCAGGCGGCTCACTCCAGGTGCATGTGGAACCAGAGGCTGCTCCAAGACTACAGGGAGAGCTCACTCTCCCTGCTGTCCTCCAGAAGGGAGTGTCACTAGCGCAGGGCCCAGTCAGCATTCCCAGCTCCAAAGACTTTCACACTTTTAGTGACAACACTTAAAACTGTCCGTGGCTACCATGCGCATTACCTTAGTCTTTATATAACCCTGTACAGCTGGGAATATGGTCCCACTTGACCAACCAGGAAACCGAGGCTCACTGCGGCAGAGTAACCGGCCCAGCCGCAAACACTGGGAGAGGCAGGCAGGCCAGGATGGGTGCTAGGCACAGGCCACTGCACGGGTTCTGTACATGTGTGCATGTTTGTTCTGTTTTCTTTTTGTACTTTTCCCCCGCATCCCAGTGCTAGACTCTTAGGCTTCATTTTAATTCTACCGAGAAACACTTCTGAGGCTTACTTTTGGATTTGGTGCTGGGGTCCAGCCTGTACTGAAGCCATTTCCCGCTTGGAGTTTTTATAAAAGTTTCATCACCCCAATATGTTAGTGACAGTGAGGGGCATAGGCACCTGATCCAGAGTGGCATCCCTTCTCATGGTGCCCTGCAAGTGTCCGGAAGAACTGGCTCAGCCGCTTGGAAATGTGGTGTGTGACCCCGGCTCCAGGCCACTTCTAGGCTCAGATTGATCTTTCTTCCTTTGTTCCTTTTTTTTTTTTCTTCTGTAATTTAGGACAGGGTCTACAGTGTCTATAGGGTCTCACCACATAGATCAGACTTACAGTGATTCTCCTGTTTTCAGCTTCCCACGTACCAGGATTATAGTTGTGCACAACCATGCCCGGCCTCAATCACCGTCTCAACACGCCTTGTGGTTGGGGCTAGCATGGCATGCCAGGGATCAAACTCCGGCTGCTGCATTCTTGCCTAAGCAGGTGCTTTAGTCTGCTAAGCTATCAGGCTGGCCCCCCTGTCTCCTTCTTTCTTTTCCTTTCTTCTGTTGTATTTGGAGAGGGTAAATCTTATCTAGGGTTTGTAAAAGTTTATATAACAAAAAAAATTAGATATATAAGTTTTAGGAGAAGAAATAAAATCACCTTATTGGAAAGGAAAGCAAATAAGGAGAAGACAGTTACCTTGCTGGAGTAAGGTAGGGAGCCAGAAGCCTGCACTTGGGGTCCTTGTTCTCAGCCTCCTTGATTACATGGCGAGAAAGGGGTGCTCCCCCTCGAGAGATGCTGTAACTCCATGGGCTGTCCCGAGCTCGAGGCCTGGATGGGCCACTGCCCCTTCCACCGCCTACACGTGCATTCTTGGGTGAGCGCTCCTGTGGTCCCTGTGCTGTGAGGGGCTGATCTTGTGAGATTCACAGCAGAGCTCCAGTCAGGGCTGCATTAGTAAGAAGGGTGCATGTGCATTGTAGGGCGTGAATACGGCAAGAGTGACAAGGTACCTGTGCAGCTTCATCTAGGTGTGGGAGTGTCGGGGGCAGTATGCACTCTATGTAGTAACTGAGTATTTGAATAACATCAGCGCCTCCCCACTGTGCTTAACTGGAGGTGGAACTGAGCCTGGGGTGGCACAGCCAGCCGGCCAGGTGGTCTTCTCAGGCCTGTTTGCCCTCCCCCCAGGCTTAACTCTTTACTTGCCAGGAACTTCACTGAGGCCCCTGCCTGGCCCCTTCACTCCCCCTCTGAGATGTTCACCATCCAGCTGCTGTTGAGGAAACAGGCAAGGAGCAAGCCAACTTCCTGGAGCTGAGTGGGGTTGTCGCTGGGGGCGGTGGCTAGAAGCCCTCCATCGCCAGAGTTGTCAGGGGCCTCGGATGGGGAGGAGGCTCCATCTGAGCTTTCCTCTGTGGCACCACCTGAAGTTGTACGGCACTTATTCTTTCTGAGGTAGAGCTTGAGAGAAAGTTGAGAAGACATGGCCCAGGTGAACGTAACAAGAAAGTAGCTGTCGACAGGCCCTGCGACGGGGAGAACCAGGCAGACACAGACAGGACCAGTCCTCTAATTTGTTGCATGATCTGGGAGGCCGGAGAGTCCACAACCTCCTGGCCACGTACCCATTTGGCTGTTTGTAAAATGACCTGAATCCTGGTCTCCACTCGTTTGGAGGGGTTGATGTGCGTGCCCAGGGTGCTCGGCACTGTGGGGACGCCGGAGGGTCAGCACCCAGGCCAGAGCTCGAGGCTGTCTCGCTCCGCTGCGCTGCTGCCGCCGCCGCCGCCGGTGCACTGAGAACGCTTCGCAGCTCTCCTCAGCATGGCGGCTGTGAGGGTGGATGTCTGAGCTGGGCTGGCAAGTGATGCCACAGGCGATTCCTCCCTGTGCAGGCGGGAGGGCTGTAATTCCTAGAACAGGGAGGTTGACAGGCTCTAGCGTCCTCTGAGACAAAGATATGTCAGTGTCCCCATACCATACGGGCTTGTTCTCACTGCTCTAGTCAGAATGATTAAAGGCACTTACAACATGGGGACTGGGCTTTACCTGAACAACTCTCTAGCTTCTTCTACATTTATAGGGATCTGAGCATTGTGTTCTCCTGGATTGAAATTCATCTGGGATTTGTTGTCTCCCATTCCCCAGAGGGGAGACATAGGAAAGCTGAAATCCCATTGGTGAGATTAGCTCAAAATACTTTGGGGAATAATTTGTATTTGCTTGAGGGATGGTGTACAAATGTTAGTAGGTAAACTGTTTTTCCTTCTCTTTCTGACCATTCTCTGTGGAGGCGCAGGGCAGGCTGGTGAGTGGCTTGGCCCTGTGTTTGGGGCAGCGAGGTCTGATCTTCTCTCTGTGCCATATGTGGTCAAATATGTCAGTGCTTTTTGTCAGTGCCTCTGACAGGAACTCCTGTTAAAGCAAGGGATGTGGCGACTCCAGGGACCGTTTTCATATTTAAGATCTTGTGGTGTTATACAGGTTCAGTTATCCCCCAAGGAGGGCCATGACCATCTGAAAAACAAAGCCAACATCTGGGCTACTATAAGGTCAGGGGTCACACCATCTGAATGAGTGAACTGTGGTGTCGCCGTAGTGGCCCAAGTGGGAATTTCTGTCCCGTTGAAAATGGACACAGGTGAGGGTGGTACTCACTAGGTAGGGTGAGTGTGAGCACGAGAAATGAGTCCATCCCTGAGGCAAAGACAACTGAATTGGAGCGATGCTAACATTATAAGGAAAAGTCCCAGGAAAATCTGAGTAGGAACGCAGGCTGTTGGGGTCTTCTTTCCCAGCCGTCGGTACCATCTCCCTCTTCTCATAGAGGACACAGAGTGAGAGCTCAGAAATAAAAGAATTCTATATGTGCTGGAGTAAAGTCAGAAGAAGAGCCCTGAGGCCCGAGGTTGTGTGTCTTATCGATGAAGTCCTGCCTGGTGACCGTAGAATAAAATCGAACTTCCTGACCCAGAATGCACAGGAAGTCTTGAAGTTGGGATAAGGAAGTGGACGTCACTGATACCCACACTAAACAGATTTTTAGTGTCATATATCTTTGTTTTATCTTCAGAAGAAGAATTTGAGATCTTGCGTAGGTTCACAGGCCTAGGCAGCCTCTGATGTGGCCTGGGGTAGGTCTGGAGCTGTACTGTCCTTGCGGCTCTTGGGGGCAGTCCCCAGTTGTACTTGGATGTGACGAATCCGAGAGTCATGCCCTGTCACATAGCTGTGTCTGTGTGGGGAAGGGCCACCATGTAGGTGCACCTTTCCACCAAGGTTTGCTTGTGTCCTGTGTGTCTAAGGCCTCGACCAATCAAGGGTCCCAGGGCACAAGAGGGGCTTGCTGGGTGGATTTGTTTGTCTTGAGGCTGACAGGATCTGTAGGAACTGGGCTAGGGACCTTCCTTGTCTCAAGACTCCCTCAGTGGATGAGTTAGCTAGCATGTTGTTTCTGAGAAGCCTCCTGTACAGAAGTTCAAAGGGAGACACCCCGACACTGGGTGCCTTCCTAGCCCACATAAGGGCCACAGGTAGGAGCTGCTTCCAGGGGCCTTGCCTTCCCACCCCAGTTTGAGCAGGTGAGTATGAGTGTCCCCTTAGCCCATTCTACCTGTCCTGATGATTGAGACTGCCAAGTACAGTGGGGCTGGTACTCCATGACATGGGCTTTTGAGACTCCCTAGGTGACCTAAAAGTGGAAGGTGGACCATGTCACCCAGGAGACTTTGTGGACTCCAGATCGTAGGATGGTCTCACACAAAAGGACCAGCACTACTTCTAGAGACTTTGCAGTCAGGGAAGGAAAGGCTTCTGTCCACCCCTTGGGAGTATCCTCTTAGCTGGGACTAGGAGAAGCCCGGCACTGGCCTCCTGGTCTGAGGGGAAAGTCAGTCTGTCATCTTCCCCTACAAAACTGCTCTGATGTTGCCCTCCTGGAGGTGCAGACATCTGCTGCCTTTGCCTCCTCACTGGCCCTTCTGTTGCCCACAGCAATAGATTCTGTTCCTCTTGGAGGTCCCAGGCGGTGAATGGCCACCACTTCTCAAGGCAGGTGAACAGCCTCACTGAGTTCTAGAATTTCTGGGGCATATTTAATAGGAGATCCATTAGAAGTCAACAGGCCTCTTTCCTTCCAAATTGCCCTGAGCGCATAGACCTCACGGAATGCACGCTTAGTACAAACGTTTAACCCCTTATCTCCTTTCAGTGTTAATGCCTGTGTGAGCGCTGTCACCTCTGCCTTTGTGTTCTGTGCTGTGCAAAGAAGCTTCTAGAACTGAACAGCTCTGAGAGGCTGATTGCTTAACCTTCT